GATAAGTAAGGCATCAGAGCCTCCATTGTAAAATTAAATATTTTAGTCAACTGTGTCAATTGGTGAGAGCAGCTATGTTGTATGGTCTGGAGACAGTGGCATTGACAAAAAGACAGGAGACAGAACTGGAAGTAGCAGAAGAGAAGATGTTGAGGTACAAGGATGGATAAGATTAGGAATGAGATCATCAGAGGTACAGCACAGGTTGAACAACTGGGAGATAAAGAGAGGCCAGACTGAGATGGTTTGGACATGTCCAGAGGAGGCACAGTGGGTATACTGGTAGAAGGATGTTAGAAATGCAGCTGCCAGGAAAAAGACAAAGAGGAGATATATGGCTGCAGTTAGAGAGGACATGGAGGTAGTTGGAGTGAGGACAGAGTGAGGTGGAGGAGGATGACTTGCTAAGGCGACCACTGAAGAAGGAAAAGCCGAAAGAAGAAGAAGAAGTCAACTGTGTCAATTCACAGAAGTAGAGACATCCACTTCACAGAAGTGACCATTGAATATTTACAGATCTCCAGGACAGGACAAATCATTATTCAGAAGTGCAGTACAATATATAAATGTGCAACAGAAGCTCACTCCTGGTACTTTATTTTTTGGTGAGGACTGGAATGTCCAAATACCCTCTGCCCTATCCATTCATCCATCCATTATATTTACGTGCTTCTTCCTTTTCAGGTCACATGGGGTCACTGGTGTACCTGGTGCCCATGTCCAGCAGTCACTGTGCAAGAAGCGGGGGACAACCTGGATGGGTCGCAAAATCATCGCAGGGCCCCTCTGCTCTAGTCTTCTCAAATATATATAAAAAAAATATTGAATGTATAAAAAAAAGCTTGACTGACATATGGATCGAAGCACAGGTGCATCTTAAAATACTGTATCATAATATAGTGAAAAAGTCTTTTTTATTCTTTTTATTTTTTAAGATTATGGTTTACAAGTAATGAAAAAACAAAATTCAATATCTCAGAAAATTAGAATATTCCACAGACAGCTTTTGGTACCTTTGTCAGTGTGGGCTGGAGCCAAGTCCTGCTGGAAAATGAAACCAGCATCTCCATTTAAAGCTCATCAGCAGAAGGAAGCATGAAGTCTCTGAAATGTCCTGGTAGATGTTGCGTTGACTGTGGACTTCAGAACCCCCCAGTGGACCATCAGAGGATATGGATGCAGACCATCACTGTCTGTAAACTTCACTCTGGACTTCAAGCAACGTGGATTCTGGACCTCTGCACTCTTCCTGCAAACTCTGGGACCTTGATTTCCAAATGACATGAAAATGTAATTTAATCTGAAAAAGGGACATTGGACCACCGAGTAACAGTCAGTTCTTTGTCTCCTCAACCCAGGTAAGACACTTCTGGCGTCTCTGGTTCAGGAGTGGCTCAACTTGAGAAATAAGACATTTGTAGCTCATGTTTAGCAGTTAATTAGCTGATTATGGTGTGACACAATGAGCTTCCAATATTGAACTTCTTCACAATATTCAAATTTTCTGAAACACTGAATTTATTTAAATTATATATATATATATATATA